TGGCCATCTTGTGGCAGCCAACTTGTGTCCACATGGGGGCAGCCATCTTATATTTTGGAGTGATGTTCAATTTACATATTACTCTCTTATTAGATAGGATAGTGTCATTGTTGATTTGCTTGTCTGTTTTCTCTAGAGACTGTGAGCTCCTTAAGATTAGGTGAACCGACATGCAATTACACCCACAACTTGACTATAAAAATTAGAGAATGCACAGTTAGAGAAGAAGGGAAAGGTTAAGAATGTGATTGTGAGCAAAAGTCCAGATGTCTGGATTCAAAGAGCATATTTGGTTAAGGGGTAGGAGATTTTTGTCAGGTAATAATAGGGGTTCTAGAACTGGAGGATTTAAAACCAAGGATTTGGACTTGATACTGGAGTTAATAGGAGTCATTGTAAGTTTCTGAGCAGATGAATTATATATTCTACTTCCATTTCAGAAAGAATTGTCAGGGTACAAAATAGATGGTGTCTGAAATTGGCAGCCCATAGGAAACTATCACCACGGCACAGGTGAAGACAATTAGAACCAAACCGTCAGATAGTTATAGAAATGAAACCACTTTAAGAGCAGATGAGGCAAACATTAGGAAGGACTGACCAACAGGAATAGCTAATTTCATAGGAAAAGATAAAAGAGTGAAGGATGACTGGAAAATTGGGAGAGTGATAGGACCAGTGGCAAAAATAGGAAAGCAGGGAGTCAATTGGGGGGAAAGGAGACATATGTAAAACTTAAGACAATTTAAAAAAAGTAGGAAAGCCAGAGAATGGTTTGTGGTGGCATATGAGAAGTATGATTCCAGATGTGCTGAGTTTGAAATAATGGCAAGCGGAAAGTTCCATTAGGACTCTTGGAAATGTTTTCTGGTTACTTCCCATATTCTTCCTTCTGATGCCTAATATTCGGGTGGCTATGCTGGCTATCACGACATATTAAGAAGGTTCAGAATGTAACAATAGAATTCTTCGTGGAATGGCGCTTTCCCCAGTCTAAATGAACATATTTAAAAACCCTTGAGCTCTGAGTGGCATTGCTCAGTGGTTAGGACATTGCCCTGCAAACTGAAGGGTTAAGGGTTTGATTCCTAGTCAAGGGTACATACCTGGGTTTCAGGTTCACTCCCCACCCTATCCCCTATCCCCGGTCTCTCTCACGTTCATATTCTCTCTCTCTCTCTCTCTCTCTCTCTCTCTCTCTCTCTCTCTCTCTCTCTCTCTCTCTCTCTCTCTCTCTCTCTCTCTCTCTCGCTTTCTCTCTCCCACCCCTTCCTTCCACTCTTTCTGAAAAGTAATGGAAAGAATATCCTCAGGTGAGGATTTTTTTTAAATTAAAAATAAAAGCCCTTGAGAGTAACAGCCCATGAAAAGGCATTTTAGAAATAGATTTTCCCAGCAGACTGTACTAAATTCCAAAATTCCCCTCAGAACGATTAGGAGGGGCATGGTGACAGTGAGGCAGGTCATAGAGGTTCAAATGAAATCTAGGTTCCAAACCCTCCTCCATCACTTCTCTCTTTCAAGCTTCAGTGCTCTCCTACGGGAAGAAGAACAGGAAAAATAAAATTACATAGCTTATAAATTTATAGTGAGGATTAAATGTAAAGTACTTAGCATAGTTCTTGCATATAGAAAGCATTAGATAGTGTTAGTTATTATTGTTGTTGTTATCAACAGTTCATATGACTTCTCTACTAGCCTGTGATCTTGTTGGAAGCAGGGCCAAGTCTTACTTATTCCTATGTCCTCAGCCCAGGGCGTGGCCAAGGACTGGTGGTGGCCCCCAGAAGCTGGGGGAAGACAAGAAAGGCTTCCACCTGGAGTCTCAGAAGGAGCATGGCCCTGCCAGCACTTTGATTTTGGAATCTGGTCTCCCAAACTGAAACATTATAATTTACAGTACTTGGTTACAGCAGCCCTCACAATAAGTGTGCATTCATGTATATTTATTTATACCTTATTTAATCTAATACCGTTTCTTTTATTGCACACTTTTTTTATTCAGCATTAAACACTGGGAGCTCTTTCAGATTGGTTCTTATACCTCTTTGATATGCTTCCATCCTTTTGATTGCTGCCTTACTTTCTGATTCTATAAGATGCTCCATGCTGAAACTGGTTTAGCTCAGTGGATAGAGCGTCAGCCTGCGGACTGAAAGGTCCCAGGTTCGATTCTGGTCAAGGGCATGTACGTTGGTTGTGGCCAAGTCCCCAGTAGGGGATGTGCAGGAGGCAGCTGATCGATGTTTCTCTCTCATCAATGTTTCTAACTCTTTATCCTTCTCCCTTCCTCTCTGTAAAAAAATAAATAAAATATTCATATATTAAAAAAGGTGCTCCAGCTTATCTTGTTTTTCCCTGCCTCCAGCCTAGAATCAGCTGTTTCTGGAAGGGCTTCTGTTCCTTTTTATTGGAGAATGATATTTGGAAACCAAGATCTAGATTCTAGGAGCACTCACTGCTATTGGGATGCCATTGCTTTTAGGCCTTCTTAGTGAACAGAGTTAGGTAAATAAGTATGTATGCTGAGCCATGTACAGTATATACACATATCTACACTTCACCCCCATACCTGTTACACAAAGAGTGTCCTACCTGAGAGACCTTCCACTCTCTTCAACCATATTTATTTTTATTTTTATTTTAAAATATATTTTCTTGATTTTTTACAGAGAGGAAGAGAGAGGGATAGAGAGTTAGAAACTTTGATGAGAGAGAAACATAGATCAGCTGCCTCCTGCACACCTCCTACTGGGAATGTGCCCGCAACCAAGGTACGTGCCCTTGACCGGAATCGAACCTGGGACCCTTCAGTTCCCAGGCCGACACTCTATCCACTGAGCCAAACTGGTTTTGTCATCAACCATATTTATTTCTTCTCCCAAACTCTGTTGTAAACGCCTGTTCTCCAGGGAGCCCTCTTTGATTTATCTGGGGCCAGGTTTCCCTTTCCTATTGAACCCTGAACACACTCTGGGCCTCTTTGCAGCGCTGGCAGAAGCTGTTAGCAAACTCCTCTCACAGGGAGGCCAGCAGATTCTCAGTGGTTTGCACCTTGGCTCACATGCTCTCCTGAGTGCCCCCGATGGGCTTCAGATTTCTGCTCTGGATGCTGAGGTGGAGGGGTTCCCAACGGTAAGAGAAGCAAATTCTTGAGTCTCGGTCTGCAAGAGAGAGCTTGGTCAGACCCCAGCTCTGACAGCACACAGCTCTGGGCTTCCATGCTGGAAGGCAGGGGAGAGGGGAAGTGCAATGCTGAGGTGTGTGTGTGTGTGTGTGTGTGTGTGATACTGGATTGTGCAACCCAGTTTAGACTGCAGGGAGGACCAAGCTGGGCAGGTGGGAGCATTAAACAGGGAAATCTCTATGGGTGGTGGTGATGGCAGAGATGTGGCAGGGGGTAAGGGGGAGTTTAAGAAGGGACTATTGAGAAGAGAGTGGTGTGTGAGAGAGGCTGGAGTATTGGGCTCTTCTGCAATATAACTCACAGAGGAGGAGCCCAAACAATTAAAAAACAAAACAAAACAAAAGCCACTGGGAGCCTTCGGGGAGCACAGCCATCTGGTCCCCATCCCAGCTTCCCACGGGCCTTTCTGTCTTATTCAGGAGCAGGAAGCTGGAGCCCAAGAGGAAAGCCCTTGCCAGAGCCATGTACAGGGCAAAATGGAGGGATACAGGTTTGGGGACGAGACAAAGCTCTACACCCTGGGGTCAGGACCTGGGCCAGGAGGTCACAGAGCCTCTGCAGAGTGGAGGAGAGCTGCCTCCTCCACCCCCCAAGCGTGTCCCCCCTCCACACCTGTCCAATCTGCCTCGGTGTCTCAGGGCTGCCGGAAGACCCTACTCCCCAAATGGGGGTTCTAGGGACCCAGGGTAGGCCTGGAGGGCAGTGCTGAGAGTGAGGTTCTTTTATTTTATATTTTCCTAAAAGTTCAGGAAGCCCTGGCATTCTTGCTTGGAGGCCCAGAACTGAAGTTTAGTCACTGCCCAGAGCCCTTGTTTTAGGAAAGAATGAGTCGGCTGTTGCGTAATCCCAAGCCAGGAGGGTGTGGGTTGCTGAAGGAAACGGCCCCTCTTCCTCCCTCTAGGAAGGAAGGCTGGGCTAGGAGTGCTGGGGGTGGGCGGAGCCTGGGGAAGGGCAGTGATGCGTAGGGAGACGCCCTGGGCCTAGCTCTGCCTGATGAGTCCACGTAACCCACTGGTGGACAGGGGGTGGAGATGCAGTGGGGGACAGGTTCTGGAAAAGTAGGGGAATGGAGGACGCGCTGCCTTGAATGAGGGGAGGGAGGGTGGTGGTGGTGGTGGGGGGGTTGTCCACCTTTCTGACCAGTGTTCCCAAGAGCACTCAGAGTATGGGCTCCTATGACGTTTGCCTCCCCCCTCCCCCCCACTCCATAATTTCAAATGGCCAGTCCCGCCCCCACCTCCCAGGTGTTCAGCCAGTCCTCACCCTGCACACTTGCCCCTCTGTAACCGTTCCAGTCTCCCTTGGCCCCACCACATTATTGGGATTTTGTTTAAGGTGTGCCTCCCCCACCCCCTCACCATCACCTTAGCCCAGGCCTGGCCCCTGACACGTTTCCCCCCGCAATTGCATTTCAGGGGGAGAGTTTCTCTTGCCCCTTCCCACAGTTGCTCTGCCTCTTCGCCCACGATCTGCTTCCTCCCATCAGCAGCCGGTGCTTACTCCTTCTCTTTCCATTCCCCCTATCCCTCTGAGGACCCCCAGGCCCATCCCTTCTCCCTCCACTCCCAGACCACGGAGCCTCCGGTCCCCCGCTTCCCGTGCACCCACACGCTAACCGGGTTTCAGGTTCTCCCTTCTTCCCAGCGGCCGGCCTCTCCTCCTTTTACCCCTCCCGGTCCGTCCCCCGGTCCCCCGAGCCAACAGTCCCTCTTGCACATTCTGGGCCAGATTCCCGGGAACAAAGCACGAAGCACCAGAGCAATTGGGGGAGTAAACAGAAGTTGGGAAGGGCGCCGGGGAGAAGAGCGGGGAGGACCAGGTGGGGCGGGGGAGCCTCTCCAGTCCCACCCAGTTTAGGGAAAGCCTCTGCCTCCTCCCCGCTTTGCCCCCCTTCACCTGGCCCTTAAACGGCCCGGCCCCTGACCCTCGGCTATTTAAGACGGAGGGGCGGCCGCAGGCAGCAGCTGCGCCACGACGGCTCTGGGAGGAGAGCACGGGGCCAGCATCCCGACCATGACCCCGCGCAGGCTGCTGCCGCCGCTGCTGCTGACGCTGCTGCTCGCCGCCCGCCCGTCAGGCGCCCTGGCCCGGTGCCCGGGCTGCGGGCAGGGGGCGCCAGCGGGCTGCCCGGGGGGCTGCGCTGCGGAGGAGGGCGCGGGGCGGCCCGCGGAGGCATGTGCGGAGGCCGGGGGCTGCCTCCGGAGGGAGGGGCAGCAGTGCGGGGTCTACACCCCCAACTGCGCCCCCGGACTGCAGTGCCAGCCGCCGGAGGGAGACCCGGCCCCGCTGCGGGCGCTGCTGACCGGCCGGGGCCGCTGCCGCCCCGCGCGCGCGCCCACGGGTGAGTCGGCGCCCGTCCCGCCCGCGGAGACCCGCTTCTCCGCAGGAGGGTCCTGGGGAGGTGGGCGCAGGCAGCGCTGCAAGCCTCTGGGTCCTGCCACTGACGCTTCTCTCCCCCACCCCAACCCTGGGGGCACGTTAGAGGGGGAAAGGGGGAGTGCGGGAGGCAGCTGGAAAGCTGGGGCGCAGCTAGGGCCGGGAGGTGTCTGAGCTCTCAACTTTTTTATTTTATTTTTTTACCCTTTTATCACTTTCTCTTGAAGGGAAAGAGATGGAGAGGTGGAGGGGTTTAGGGCCTTGCCACAGTGGCCCAGCTCCTTCAGTCCTAGGCCCCCAAGTTGGAGAAGGGACCCAGGTGTTCTCAGCTTTCCACTTGGAAAAAGGAGGGAATGGAACGCCAGACTCCCAAATCCTGCACACGCTGAGAAATGTCCCCCCCTCTCCTTTTCATGTCGGGGTGTCCAAAGCCCCTGAACATGAGGCTGAGAGTAGAAGATGCCCTCCATCCAGAATTGTTTTAGACCATCACGGGGTCCGGGAGTAGGTGTTGGAGTCATGGTGGTGGAGACTGGAGGTGGGGGAAAAAAGGAACCTATCAAATCAGGGTTATGATTTAAAGCTGCCACCCCACCCTACTCCAGAGTGGAGAATAGAGGACTTAGTGGGTGGGCAGGACAGAAGTGAGTCAGAACCTGAAAGAAGGGGTGTGAGGAGGGGGGCAGTAGGGAAATGGGGAAATGGGGAGGGCGGGAAATACACCCAGGGGCACCTGCGTTCCTGGTTTCTTCCCTGGGAAGGTCTGGGAAATTAACGGGGAGCTGCTTTCAATCCCAGATGCACGCGTGCAGGCTGCTAGAGGTCCTCCTAGAACGGGTGGGTCAGAGGAGGCAGTTCGAGCAAGTCATGAGGGGGTGTTAGATGGAGGAAGTGAGGGTCGAGTGTGGAGGAAGGGGTGTCAGGTTCGGGACCGCAGATGGAGTGACTCCAGTTGTAAGTGAAGCAGATGAGGGCTCTCTCTATGTTTGGGGGCTGGCACTTAAGCAGAGCTTGCTTTGGGCACGGAGAGAGTAGTCTCTTCAGGGATCACAATAATTTTTCAGCTGGGTGGAATCCAAGCAATTCCTGCTCCCCTTCCTGCCTTCCTTTCGTCCTGATGCCCTGACTTATTTCTTCATCTTGTTCCATCCCGTGAGCTCACCCCAGACCCCCCAGACACCGTATGTGAAACTTCCCCAGAGCCAGAAGCGACCGCCTGTTGGAAGCCCCTCATTCCCGCACTTTTGCAACCTGCCCTCTGCCGGTCTAGGTTGATGAACCTCACGTGTTCCTGGGACCCTAGGGTTGAGCTGGGCTGAGCAGCAGGGGACCAGAAGAGTGAGGCCCCTACTGTCCCAAAAGTAACCACATCACAGCTTGGAAGAGGTGGGCTGGGTCACAGAGGGTCACAGCAGGGACGCACATTCCACTTGGTTGCCTCTGACCTCTCCCACATCCATTGCTTTCCTGCCCCATCTCCCTGGTTTAGTGCACCCCCTGCTGGCCTCTGATGGAACAGTCAGATCTTTCACCCCAAACCCAAGGCCTCTCAATATGCAATAGTCCCCCTTATCCACTGGAGCATCCGTTCCAAGACCCCCAGTGGGTGACTGAAACCGAGGTTAATACCAAACCCTAACCAACGCCTTCGGCTTCGCCAGAAACGTGGCAGCAGATCTACACCAGCAGATGCAGCCTCTCCAATCGTTTTTAATATTTTTTCAGTCCAAAACTATTCCTGAATCTGTGTAACCATCTCTTATTTGCAATAAATGTCTTGCTGTCCCTTGTTTCAGGGGACCCCTTACTTAAGTCTTCGTATAGGCTCGCTGTTATTTGTCACAACACGTTGCCGTCAGTTGGAACACGCTTTCTGTTCCTGTCTTTTACAGACAAATTTAATGTCTTCTCCCTCTTAACTAAGCACTTACTGTGGTCATAACTTCTCTAGTTTGAGGTGTGACAGCAAAACTAGCAGGATTTTCTCTGTGTTTTTTGCAAAATGTGTTTTCTGCAAAATGTGTTTTCATTGATTTTTTTTTTTTTTGAGAGAAAGGAAATGAGAGGGAGAAAGATAGAAACATCGATGAGAGAGAAATATCCATTGGCTGCCTCCTGCATGCTCTCTACTGGGGAGTGAGCATACAAGTCAGGCATGTGCCTTAACTTCGTGGTGCGTGGGATGATACTCAACCAACTGAGCCACACTGGCCAGGTTAGCATGGATTTCTTATTCCTTCTGCACAATTTCATGGGAAGAAATTTGTTTTATTGTAGATCTTAGCAACCTCGGTATAAGATTTTTTAAAATATTTTTCTATTGATTTCAGAGAGGAAGGGAGGGGGAGAAAGAGATAGAAACATCAACAATGAGAAAAAAATCGGTCATCAGCTGCCTCCTGCACGCCCCCTGCTGGGGATTGAGCTGAAAGCCAGGCATGTGCCCTGACCTGGAATCTAACCGGGACCTCCTAGTTCATAGGTTGACACTTAACCACAGAGCTCCCATAGGTGGGCCAGCGTACGATTTTTATTCTCTTTTTCAGTTGAGAACTTTCATCTTTTCACTTAAAGGTGGCATTTTTTGGCTCCTTTGGCATATCTGAGTTGCCAGCATCACTACTCTTGCACTTTGGGGCCATTAAATAAGTAAAATAAGGGTTTTGAACACAAGGGCTGACATAACATGACTGTCGATCTGATAACAGAAATGGCTAATCAGTGACTAACGAATGGGGAGCATATACAGCGTAGAGACACTGGACAGTTGGCTGATTCACATCCCGGGCGGGAAGGAGCAAGAGGGCGAGAAATGTCATCACACTATTCATAATTTAAAACTTTGGAATTGTTTATTTCTGGTATTTTTTATTTAATATTTTCAGTCTGTGGTTGACTGCAGGTAACGCAAACCACAGAAACTGAAACCACAGATAAGGGCAACTATTGTATTTGTTCATGATTTTTGCTTTCCAAAGTGTTCCTCCCTCCTAAGCCTGGTCAGGAAATGTAATAATACCATTTGCCAGGGGAAGAAGCTGAGGCGGGAGAAGGTCAGGGTGGAGCCAGATTCTAACCCCCCTTCACCTCTCCTGATCCAAAAGCCCCTCCCTCTCTTTTCCCCACACATGGCGCCAGTCTTTGTGTGTGTTTTTAGAAATAATTAAAAAAATATATTTTATTGATTTTTTTTACAGAGAGAAAGAGAGGGACAGAGAGTTAGAAACATCGATGAGAGAGAATCGTTGATCAGCTGCCTCCTGCACACCCCCTACTGGGGATGTGCCCACAACCAAGTTACATGCCCTTGACTGGAATCGAACCCGGGACCTTTCAGTCCAAAGGTCGACACTCTATCCACTGAGCCAAGCCGGTTTCGGCTGGTGCCAGTCTTTGACATCTGGCTGATTTCTGGCCTTTTCTTTCCCCCTCTTCTTTTGGCTGCAGGGGAGAATCCTAAGGAGAGCAAGCCCCACGTGGGGACCACTCGCCAACAGGACACGAGCCGTAGAAACCAGCAAAGGAACCCGGGGACCTCTACCACTCCGGCCAGGCCCAATCCTGGGGGTGTCCAAGACTCTGAGATGGTGCGTGTGGGGCTGGCAGGGAGCAGGAGGGGTGGGGAGCCCTGAGGATGTCCACGTTAGGCTGCGTCCTGGGGCTCAGAGAGGTCTCCCACGTTAGCCCTGGGAGTCTGGCTGGTGGGGCCCAGGGACCGTGCCGGGGAGCTCTCAGCTGGTCCTAAGCTGTTGCTCCCTCTTCTCCCAGGGCCCGTGCCGCAAACATCTGGACTCGGTGCTACGGCAACTCCAGATCGAAATCTTCCGGGGGTCTCACACGCTCTACGTGCCTAACTGTGACCACCGGGGCTTCTACCGGAAGCGGCAGGTGAGGCCGCTCTCCCTCTGGGTCTGTCGGTACAAGGCTCCGTCCAGGGGCGGGAGGGGGCTTATCCCGTTGCCTAAGTAAGACACTGTCCCTGCCTTTAAGGATCTCGCAACTTCAGAGCCCACACAAACAGAAGAACCAACCACACACATAACAAAGGAGTTAGACTGCCCACGGAGGGCCTCACTCAGAGGCACACAAATGTGAGGCTCATCAGGGTCACCCAGAGGGCTGTGACTACATAGGTGGCTGAGCCCCACCCACCAGCAAAGCCTGAGAATCTGCATCTCTAACTCCCATCCCCTAGTCATGCTGATGCTGTTGGTTTGGGAGCCACACTTTGAGAACCACTGTTCTGGCCTAGAACAACAGGCACGGTTTTGTGGGTGGAGAAGAAGAGAAGAGAGGGAAGGGAACCCAGCAGGACTCACATCCTGAGAACTCTTAGCCGCTCCTACATATTCAGACTCAGGAGTCCATAGCCCATCCCCAACCCACAGGACCCCTCCCACCTCTTCTGCTGGAGCCTGGCCTCACCTCTGATCTGTATGCCTCTCTCCCCAGTGCCGCTCCTCCCAGGGCCAGCGCCGAGGGCCCTGCTGGTGTGTGGACCGGATGGGCCAGCCCCTGCCAGCATCCGGGGACAGCAATGGCGGTGCCCCCTGCTCCGCAGGAGGCAGTGGCTAAGGCTGGGTGGGGTCCCCAGGGCCACCGGCAGGAGCCTGGGGCTGTCATCCTGGACCATTTGTCATCATGAGTAACTAGGTCCCACACTCCCCCTCCAGGCCCTGCCCCATTGTCCCCTTATCCCTGAGACATCACACATGGAAAAACTGTTGGTGTTGGTTTGGAGCGTTAATAAAGCTGTTTGGGGGGTCTCTGGTCTATGTTTCTGGGTCCACGCTCACATGTCTGAAGCTCCTGAGCCTTCTCTCCCCTCCACCACTCCCCTTTACAGCCCTCCAGTAGCTTGGGTCCTTCCCGCTGCTCTTGGAATGAAGGAGGCAGCCATTGGCAGAGGCTTCAAGCCCCAAAGCCACACCCAATGACCCACCAGGGAGTCGGGGGGCGGAGACAGAGATGGGGAGAAACTGAGCCCGGGCCTTGGTATGAAGTTGTGATCTTTGGACACAGGGGAGAGGAAGAATTAATAGTTAATCCCCAGCAGGAACCTAACAAAGAGGAACTTCAAAGCACTTACCCTTCTGTTTACATCCTACTAAACAGGAAATGAGATTATTATTCATTGGGCTCCCCTCAGGAGCTGGGCCCTGGACCATATGCTTCTACCTGGATTACCTCTTTTTGTGCTTATAGCAATTTTGTGAGGAAGGGACTTTTGCCCCCGTTTTTCCAGAGGAGGAAACTGGGGCTTAAGAAATTTGGGTCACTTAGCCTGAAATGGCACAGCCAGGAAATGATAAAGGGAGGATTTAAATCTAGTTCTTCCGCATGTGACAATGCCCGGCATTCCTCAGGTGCTAGTAAGTGTCTACTTTGCCTACCTGCTAACCCAAGCAGTTGTAGGGTCACGCTGACATTCAGGGACACTGGCACCTAGCACTTCCCAGAGGGGCCACAGCTCCACAATCGTCACAGGTGTCTACGCCATCAGCACATTAATCACCTGCATACAATGCTTTCACTGACAAGGTCCTTTCATACACCTTATCTCACGGTCTAAGGGAGCTGAGTGTACCTATAACTGAAGAGTTTCTGACTCCGCCCCGACCTTCAGCCAGCTGGAAGGTGAGCCATGCTAGGTGATAAGCCCCAGAGAGGCAAAGTCCCCCTTCCCACCACATGCCTAGTCACTACTCCTGTGGGAGGGAGAGTGCACTTGCTCCAAGCTGGGCATCTGGGGGGTGGTTGGCTGTTGCGGGGTTGCATCCAGTCCATCCCCGCGACAGCCAGCAGAGCCTGTAGCTGGGAAGCACTGCCCTCCGGATCAGATAACCTGTCCTGCTCCTGGAGGCCCCCTCCTTCTGAGAGGACTTTAGTCTTTGGAGCTGTCTCGGAGCTGAGAGATGGGAGCTCCGCGGGTTGGCGGGCCGTGAAGGGAAGGAAGGAACATGGCAGAGGCCACCAGCTGCCCAGTCAAGACTGACCCCATGGAGCCCAGGGCGGCCCGCTCTCGGAGGAGGGCAGGGTCGAGAAGAGAGCAGGAGGACCGACCCTCCGGCGGAGGTGAGCCACGCTCTGGGCGTGCAGACAGCTCAGGGGGGTGAGGTGGGCGGGAGGTTACCCTGTTGAGAGGGGGCTCCTCCTCTCTCCCTGAACCCCCTCCTGTTGTCCTGGGGAGGCAGACTCTGGCCTCTGCCCCTAACCACCCAGCTGGGAGACTGGAACAGGGAAGGGCCCTTCAGGGCTGTGGCCTTGCCTGGTCTTTCTGACTCTCTAACCTCAGAGGGTAAACAGAGAGGCTTCCTGTTCCGAGTACCCTGTGCTGTCATCAGGCTCCCGGCTTACCAAGGGCCTCCTCACCCCCGGACAAAATGACTTCCTCTTCTGACCGCCCCACCCATGATTCTAGAAAACTTCTGCTTGCGGGGCTGGGAGGAAGCTGAGCACCCAGAAAGTACTTCCTGGCGGAGGATGCCTCTGGGCTCACACCGGGCAGCAGAATTCTAACTCCTCCCCTTTGGGTGTGCCCTTTGACCCCTCCTTTTAGGAAATGCTGAGGCGCTTGGAGGCCCTGACTTGGTGCAATGGACTCAACATATGGAGGTGAGGGACCTCAGAGGTCAGAGGCCAAGATGAGCGATAGGGCGATAGGGGAGAGGACCAGTTTGGTGATAAAGACAATTTGTTCTTTGGTTCAAAACCCTCAAATGAGATAAGAGCTAAGGGTTAAGATGAAGGGGTTTGAAACACAGGTCATCAGGGCAGGAGCCAAAAGTCAGGCAGTCAGTCAGTCTGTTTGTGGGCCTAGAGGTCAGGAGAGGGAAGGCTGGGGTCAGGGAGAAGAGAGTCAAGTCCCAGGTGACAAAGCAGTTGGGACTGGAAATGTCCCTACTGCTGTTTCCCCTTGATCGTCACTGCGGCCCTGGGAAGCACGAGGGAGAGAAATTATTGGGGAACTTGAGGGCGGGAACCATGTTGTCTCTCCCTAGCACTTGTGTGCATAGAGAGCTCAGGAAATGCTGAGTGAATGAGAGGATGGCAAACTGGTTGGAGGGACAGTGGGCCCTGCTTTGTCCATAGGCTGTGAAGGCGCAGCTGCTGGAGCAAGCACAGAGCCAGCTGCAGGAGCTGCTGGATCGCGCCATGTCCGAGGCCGTGCAATCCTACCCACCACAAGGCAGACCTCTGCCCACTATTCCTCCAGATTCCCTGAACAAGTAAGAGTCTGAGGAGCTAGGGCTGATGAATGGCTGGAGCAGGCTCCGCCACTGTGAGATTACAAGCCATAAACATCATCTCACGCACCCTTTGCCAGTGCAGGTGTGACCCTCAACCCAACCTTCCCCCTTCTCCCTTTATTGCCTCTGCCTTCCTGGCTCTGACCTCCACCTCTAGCCATGCTCTGCCCTGGCCCTGACCTTCTGCCTGATCCTGGCCTCTGGCCCCAGCTTTGACCATCTGCTACTATTATTCTTGGCTCCCAAGTATTGATCTTCTGCAAGGCACACTGCCTTCCTCCTTTGGGTCCTGACCCAGAACAACTCTCTCAATTCAGTATCCAGAAGCCATCCCTGAAGAAAGGAAAAGTTTTTATCAACCGCAAGTCCCTGCTGGAGTAAGTTAAGGGAGAGGATGGGGCGGGGGGGGGGGGGGGGGGGGGGGGCGCGGAGGGTGCTTTGGTTAACGGTCCAGGATACCTCAGTTCTCACCCCCAGGCTCTAGGTGGTTTGGGAGAGGACCTGGAAAGGGTTTTAAGGTTCAGTGTTCCCACGTGCCCTGTGTGTAACTGCCCAGGACAGGAGGTGTCTGGGCAGGAAAGGGCTGTGAGCAGTTGTCCTAGTCACATCCCAGCCCTTAGCATTTCCAATCAGTAGGCTCCATCCTCACATGTGCCCAGGGCCTGAGCCAGTCTCCATGACCTAGAGGACCCTTCCGCACTGACATCCGGGGTCTTCTCTCTCCAGTGAACTGATGGAGGTGCAGCACTTCCGGACCATCTACCACATGTTCATCGCAGGCCTGTGCGTCTTCATTATCAGCACCGTGGCCATCGACCTCATTGACGAGGGCAGGTAGGCCCCTCTCCTCCCGGGATAGGCACACAGATCAGATCAGACCCCTTGGGTCCCCCGGGTTCCACCAACTATTGGCCTGAGAGGGCACAGGTTCGCCTTTGATATTGCATACGCATCAGTGTTGCTTCCAACAATATTCCCACCTAAAACACACTCTGAGCTTCTTCCTTCCACAGCCTTGGATGGCCCTCTGTCTGTCCTCCCAGGATCAGCCACTCATATACTTCTCAATGGAGCCTTGTCTTGAGGCAGACATACTAGTACATATATGTGTATGCACACATACACACTTCCCCTCCCCTCTCTTTCCAAGTCAGAGTTGTTCAGTTCAAGTAACCTCCTGTGAGCATCTTCTAAGGACTGGCCCTGGGGGCCAGGGAGATGAGGGGCAGACCCCATCCCTGTCTATGAGGCACCCCGACCTTGTGGGAAGACAGACAGCCACACACGTGCCTTGGTGGGTTGTTTCCCCCAGAGACCACCCCCACACACTCTGGGGGATGAGCTTCAGAAGACTGTACACTCCGGGGGTCTGTATTTGCAGGCTCCCCCCTATTCCCCACTAAGTAGGGCTTAGGAAGCAATAAAAGGAAAAGGGCCAAGGACCTGCAAGTTCAGCAACAGCGCTTCCTTTTGGTAAATTGTTGCTAAATATGTAAGTATCAAATCTCAGTAAAATATTCAAATACTTGTAAAGTTACAGTCCTTCTTGACAACCTTCCTCCCCCCAATCCCAGACCGCTTCCCAGAAGTAACTTTTTCAACAGTTTGTTTGTTTTTTTAAAGCACGGGTCCTTGGTCAAGAAGTCTTTATTTTATTTTATTTTTTTTTTAATATATTTTATTGATTTATTCACAGAGAGGAAGAGAGAGGGATAGAGAGTCAGAAACATCGATGAGAGAGAAACATCAATCAGCTGCCTCTTGCACACCCCCTACTGGGGATGTGCCCGCAACCAGGTACATGCCCTTGTCCGGAATCTAACCCGGGACCTTTCAGTCTGCAGGCTGACGTTCTATCCACTGAGCCAAACCGGTTCCGGCCTTTTTCAATAGTTTTGAGAGTTTCCCTCCAGAATGGTTTCCACCCATTCTATATAATAAAGAGGTGATATGCAAATTAACCTTCACACCCTCACAAGATGTCTACCTACAACCAGGCTGGCAGGGGCGTTAGTGAGGGATGACTAAATGACTGAACAAGCAGGCTGCATGGGTGACCAGGTTGGCAGGGGAGGCAGTTAGGGGCAATCAGGCCGGCAGGGAGCGGGCAGTTAGGGATGACCAGGCAGGCAGGTAGGTGAGCAATTAGGAGCCAGTGGTCCAGGATTGTGAGAGGGATGTCCAACTGCCGGTTTAAGGCCCGATCCCCAGGAGCAGTCGGACATCCCCCAGATTGGAGAGGGTGCAGGCTGGGCTGACAGGAAAACCCATCTCCTGTGCATGAATTTTATGCACTAGGCCTCTAGTATGTGTATAAGAACCAAAGAGATGTATTTAGTAGGCATTTACATAAATAAGACACTATATGTATTGTTTTTTAAAAATATATATTTTATTGATTTTTTACAGAGAGGAAGAGAGAGGGATAGAGAGTTAGAAATATCGATGAGAGAGAATCATTGATCAGCTGCCTCTTGCACACCCCCCACCGGGGATGTGCCCGCAACCAAGGTACATGCCCTCGT